AACCCACACACAGATGAATTCCCAGGCAAGGACCATGGACAGATGCCCTGTGGCCCACTAGCAGTTTAGAATAGCTGAGGACTTGCACCTTTGCCCCTCTTCGGTGGACACTGGTGGTTTCCCAGTCAGTCCTATCCTAAAAACCTGAGGATGAAAAATCAAGTAATGAGTCTGGCAGATCAGTCTCTCACTTTAGGCTGAATTTTGCTTGAGCCTGCACTCGAAAAACCCAGGACTCTTTCCTTTGAACTTCATTTCTCCAAAAATAGTTCAAAGCATTCTGAGAACATGGATGCCAAAAATCCAGCCTGGAAACCACCCCAGCCTCAGTGTAAAGCACTCCTTTTCCTCCTAGGAGCTGTGCTGCTGCTTTGCACAGCCTGTCAAACAGCCCCTGCAGACTCAGCCAGCCCTCATTCACCACGAGTCTCGGGACTGAAGCATCAGCTGGGCAGGGCTGGGCCCTCAAAGGGATCTTGCTGTGATCCTACACCTGCCTGTTGTTACAGCCTTGGCTATTTTTGACAAAGAGATAAAGATGAAATAGGTTCTTGCTCCCAGTTTGTACAAAACATCCTTTCCAAGCAGAACTGTGTTACCCACACGTGTACAGGCTGTGCCAGGCGGCAGCACCACAATCCTCTGCCCTGGGTGACACAGCAACAAGAAGGATGGTTTGGCATTATTATGCCAACACCTCTTTAATTACACTTCGGGCAAGTACTGTGTTTTCTCCCCAAAACTAATAGCAAAGCAAACACTTTGAGAACCACTTTATTTTCGCATTACAACCTCTGTGTTTGTTTACTTTGACATTTCCCAACCCAGCACACATAATTTTTTGGAAGCTTCTGGCTTTTAATTCAGGGCTCTTGCTCTGAACTTTCTTTTTCCTACCCATTGCCCCCCTGTTTTGTGAACCCTTTGTTAAGCAGAAAGATTTCTGTGATCTTCCCTGCAATGAAAAATGCTCATGAGAGTCAAAGCAGCCCTTAATAATACTGCCTGATTAACATCCTGAAAGAAAGACCACTTTATTCCTCACAGGTCTGATGAATTCTGTCAGAGGCTTATTTAGATTTCACTGAGGTCTTTTTTAGCTGCTTCTTCAAAACTGACTCAACAAGGTCCTAAACACTTAATCTAAAAGCAGATGAAAAGTTCTAATCATTTATTAAGTTAAGGATAAGCAGAAATTCCTTGCTGGATTGGGGCCTAAAGGCCTGCAAATACAGATGGCTGTTAGCAAGGCCCAGAATAGGCCAGGTGACCACCAACAGGCAATTATATTCCTACCAGAACTTCAACTGTTTGAAGTTAATTGCTTTGAAATAATTGGACAGGTGAGCAGGTAAGTTCACACAGAGCATTTGCAGTTTTGCTTTGTATTCAAAGAAAACAACAGTGCAGATTGCACGGACAAAGCGGGCACGATTTTAACAAAAGGAGTTAAAAGGCAAGGGAAAAGTAGGGTTGGTTGTTTGGTTGTTTTTTTTTTTAAAGACTTTTCCTTTCAGTTTTGAGCATCATTAAAACGCTGCAAACATTTCATTCAAGAGCTTCTTTAGTTAATACCTCATTACTTCTCTTTTTATTGTTATGGTAATCAAGCCTTAATATATTGCAGCTTTCCAGAATGAAACGAAGGCTAGGCCTGTGGGCACGGACAGATGTACACCAGCATGCAGTAAAACACAGGTACAGAGACACGCAGAGCTGAATATGGCACTGGGGTTTTCATAATTGTTTAGCAATTCATCTGAAGTTATTTTAACCTTGACAACAGATGAACTCGAACACGCCCCGCGAGCACTCACTGGAAAGCTGCACCGAAAAGCAACTTTTGGAACTGTTGTCTTACAGGCTGAGCTCTAGGAAAGCGTGAAAGCAAGGCTGAGCACGGTGATTAAATTGTTTGCATGGCTACAGGCTGTAGCTGTAACTATTGCAAACATTTAGCCAGGGGAGAATGATAACGCTGGGAAACCGCATTGACACCAAAGCCTGGCCTCCCCAGGGGAAATCAGGGCTCAGGGTCAGGATCCACACCCTCTCCTGTCACAGGCACACCGAAATTATCAACACACACTTCTGGTTCTGAAGTGACACTTGGACCTTGTGCTGGAGCTCTGCTTAGGGTTGAATTCCCCCCATCGAATCCAGTGAAAGTTATAAATGACTTTTAGAAAGTTATAATGGTCTTGTTGAAAGAGCATCTCGGGAAGAGTGAGGGGTCTTAGATCTTCTCCAGTAAATGACAACACACGACCCCCGGTGTCAGGGAGGCTCCACTTCTCAGTGCTGCTTTCAGGAGAGATCATCCAGGAAACCATTCCAGCTCCTAGGAGATTTTCTAAATTTAAAGGGAGTGTTTTGGCTGGCGATCCCTTCCCCAGTGAAACCGCTTCAAACAGCCAACAGGAAAAGCAATATGTGACTGCACAAAATCCCTGGGACTGAGCACCACACTGGGAAGTTCTGGAGCCCCACGGGGTTGGGGTGGCACCATCCAGCCACCAGCTCTGGTTTGTCCCGAGCACAGCCCTGCAGGAGCATCCCAAACCACATCTGGCACGGCAAACACGGGAGCTTCAGAGCAGCTGCACAGTATCGATGCAGGAACAGAGGAAAGCAGGCACAGCTGATGGATTATCCCAGCAGAAGTGACAAACATTTGCCACATTCCGAGTGGGTAACAGTAAGGCACGACTCAAAATGGATCATGGAGCTGAAAAACCCGGTTAACCTCGGACAGGCAACGCTCCCACTTCTTGGAAACACTTGGAGTAACAAAGCACTGCATTCTGCTGAGATCTCCTGATTTCAATCTTTTGATTTAAACAAAGTCCCCTAGCAATAAAGAGGCCAGTCACCCAAATTTCTGGTGTGCACTAAAAGCTGACTTCCATGAGGCCATTCACTCCTCCCAGCGTTAAACTGGGAAGTGCCTGTGGGATCAGCTCCTGGGCCAGGAACACGTGTTGCCCAGTGGATAACAAATGGAATGAGAGACAATGGGCACTACAGGCCAGCAAACACACTAATTATATTAATAAAATGAAAGCTTAAATTTTGAAGCTAATCCTGGGCTATCATTTATAAAAGTTACCGGGGCATATTTAATTTAGGAATTGGCCAACGCTTCCCTTTCCACCGCTGAAACCTCATAAATGAAATACCCTGGATCGGTGCCCAGCGCGGAAATAAAAGTTATGAATAATGTTTCTATCTCCATCATTGTCAGTGCTTTAATATTCCTAATTACTTTAAAAAGCTAAATATTCAATATAGCAAAAACCTTCTTTTTCTTTTATCTCCACTTGCAAGATTAGGGCAATTTAATAAGAGTCGCTGGGTAGTTTGAGCCCCTGGGACCAGTCTGAGACCACTTTGACATCTCATCCTCTCCTTTCATCTCCACACAGCATGGAGAGTTTGTGACTCTGAGGGTATAAATGTGTATATCTATCTATATGTGTGTGTGTATGCTGCCACAGTGTTTATTATTATAATTATCATTACTTTTAACTTCTGAGGCCTGTACAAATACTGGCTGGAGGTGAAACAAATCTAATACTGAGACTAATCAAAAGACAAAATGAGTTCCTGAGAATCTCTGCAATTATCCCACAATTTAAGGTACTATTTTTCTTTTTTAATGTATTGTTAGAGATGGATATTTAGTAAGTTGTGCTGCCCAATTTTCCCCTTCTCCACATGCCAGGCCATCCCAAAAGGTTGCTTCAAACCCCAAAGCACAGCCTTTGCTCCATCCTTAGAATCTCAGAATGGTTTGGGTGGGAAGAGACCTTGAAGCCCATCCAGTCCCACCCCCTGCCCTGGGCAGGGACACCTTCCACTATCCCAGGTTTCTCTAAACCCCATCCAACCTGGCCTTGGACACTTCCAGGGATGGCAACAATCCTCCCTCCCTGCTGTGCCTGAGGGACATCACAGAGCTGCAGCAGAGCTGACCCACTGCCTTCAGCCTCTGCAGAGCTTCTTCCTCTGTCACATTTAACTCCCATTCCCTTCTATCCCCTCCCTCTATAGATTCCTTCTCTGTTACCTTTTTGCCTGGTAATTATGCTTTTTTTCTTAAGATCTCAATCAATTCGGGAGAAAGGGAGGAAGGAAACACAAACTGAAACGTCCATTCAGCTTCATTTCACTGCATCTCCCCCCGTGTTCCTTTATTTACTTGCCTGATGCACAAATTGACTTCATTTAACAAGCTTATTTCTTTTCTGTCAATAAGGCGTCGGGCCCGTGTTCCAGCAGAGCTCAGATGTTTGTGCTGCCTGTTCCATTCCACACGAGCCGAGCACAGAGGCCTCAACTCACCACTGCCAATTAAGAGATTTAACAAACACAGCCTCACCAGCTGGAGGAATTGAAAAGTGTGCATTAATTCCCCAGCAAAAGGTGCTTCCCTAACTCCTGCAGGATGGGTTGGAGGTATGGATTGCCGGGCACAAGGTAGAACCTGGGCTGCCTGGAAAGTCAATGGCAAAAAACTCCCACTGGCTTAACCAAGCCAAGGATTCTGTGAGGAGAGAGGGCTTTCCAAAGGGCTCCAACTCTCCACAGGGCATTTCGTGAGGAATGTGTTGTATTAAAGATTTACGAGAGGAAAAATTCATAATATAGCTCTGTTATCTGTGTTGGTACCCCAATAACCAAAAGCATTAAAAGCATTAAGAGCATCTTCCACTGCATTCCACATTTCTTTGTAAAAAACAAGCAAAAAAGGCCAATGTCATTATCCCAGGGAAAGACATCATCACACATTCATGGAATACCAGAATGGTTTGGGTTGGAAGAGACCTTAAAGCACATCTCATTCCAACTCCCCCCAACCGTATTAATTATTCTAAAATAACACACAAAATTCATTTTTCCACTTAGAGCATCCAAGTCCCACGGCCACTGCTTTGTAAGGCCTGGTTTTTTCACGCCAACACAAAACCTTTTATCCCATTTTGGTAATGCTGACTCACCACTGGAGCAGTCAGTGCCTCCCCATCCTGGTTCACAGTGGCACGTGTCAGGAGAGACACACCTGCCATGCACACACTCCTCGGTGCACAGAGCTGTGGAAGGAAACAACAGCACTGTAAACACGGCAAGTGGTTGCTAAACATGCCCTGAACTGGGCCTGAGAGAGCAATGTTTGGTTTAAAAATATGAAATGAAGCAAACACACGCGCACAAGAATAATCGCCCCCCAAGATTTAATTATTGCTAAGTGACCAAAATAAAATGCAGGTCTCTTGACAGCATTAAATTCATAAATTTGTCACTTCAGCCCTTTGTAATGAAAAACCCCAACACCAGGAATTCCTTTGTTTAGCAGTTTTGCTCCATAATAAAGTTTTTGCCAAACTGACACTTATATTAGAGAACAGCAGCTTCTTACATCACACTCAAGTTGTGACTGTCCGTAAGATAAAATGGAACTCGGTCCTGAAAGTGTATTAAGACCCAAAATAGTAAAAAACAGCTCAAGGAAAGTAAATAATTTTACTCCACGATGCAGCAGCTGTAAGTGCAGTCCTGTCTGTTAAAGGTCATCCAGTTTTCCATGACCACAGTGCTCTCACCTCACTTGTTCACTGCTGGATTTCTGAAAGTTCAGGATCCTCAAGGCTCAAACTAAGACAAACTGGCTGAGAAGCAGCTCAGAGTTTAAATAATTCCCTTCTCCTTGGCTGTTTCAGTGTCTGACAGTTCCCAGTGAGTGCCTTCGTGCCCACCACATCCTAAAAACTTGGACAGCGCTGAATAAACTTGGACAGCACTGAATAACTGCTTTACAGGCTGGACTTCACTGCTCTGCACCTTGTTCCCATTTTGCCACTCAGGACAGTGCCAAAAACTCAGGGTGTCAGAGATTGAAGCTGGAGGGTTAAGCTGGAACACATCATTTCCATCTAGACTAACAGGTAGGAGTTATTAATGAGGATGATGCAGCTGCAATGAGGTCACTATAGTAAAATATATATACACATATTTAATAGAGACATCAAATATCTCTGATTTATGTCACATATAACCTACATTTCTGTATCCTGTGTTTTTACAGCAGATGGGAAAGGTGGGCAAGGTGTTTACTTAACCAAGAGCTGGACCACAAAAAAGATTTATCCCAAGACAAAGATGAGTTCATTCCTGGCTAAAGCAAGGCCAGCAAAGCTGATCCGGGGAGCAGCTTTGAGTTGCTGTGCTTGAACACGAGGCAGAACCACCCAATTCATCTGCAATCAGCCACAGAACCCCCTGGCAGCTGCCCTGCAGGTGAGACACCCTTTCAGTTCCCAGCTCCCTCCTGGGCCAAAAGCTCCCCGCTGGTGTGTTGGACCTTGGAATGACTCCTGCTCCCTCTGCACTCTGCCTGCACTGCCCCTGGATCCCCCCTCAGGCTGCAGTCAAAGCTCAGGGACACATTTTGCTGCCTGGTCTGTGTTTGGGTCACTGCAGATCAAACCCTCGAAGCTGCTCGCAACATACTGAAATCCAACTTCAAATCACAGGTGAACTTTGAGTAATCCCTGGGACAAATCCTGCTCTTTATCCACCAGATCCCACGTGACCAGTGATTAGAATGTTGTCTCGTTAAACCCACTGCAAGATCCTTCTAAATTAGTCATTTTCTTTCCACGTTTGCTGCATGTCAAAAATGCAATTTATTCTTATTTCATATCTGGTGTTTAGACAGTATTGCAGTGGGCATGAAATATTCATGGCTAATTCTCCAGTCACTAATTGTCCTAATCTTTTGTGCATTTATTTGACTCCAGACAGGCTTTCTGGAGACAAGGAGGCATCCCAGGCTACAGTTGTAACACGGAGTTCAAGACAGGATATTGGAAAAAACAGGATTTTCCAATAAAATAGACACGCCTCCCTGCAATCATTTGAAAATGGCTGGGTATTGTTTGCAATAATAAATCATTCTTACATGTAAAATGTGTTTAAGATTCTTATCCTTTTAACCAGGCTGGTTCTGAGCCCGAGGCAAACTCTGTCAGCAAGAAGGCTGATGGTGGACTAGTTTTTTGGCCTTGCCAAATACCAAAACTCCTGCTCATTACTGGCCTGAATTTAACTGATTTCCACAGGGACATATCACACCTTAACTGTGTTAATAAAAATATGGAATAATAATCAATAATTAGGCTAATAAAGTTCACTTGATCACTCGTCCATGGACAGAAGTGCTCCTGTCCCGTGGGAGGAGGGCACTCAGACTTAGGAAGACTCAAGATAGAATTGCTCATTTTAAAGCACTCAGTGACATGAAAAGTAGTAAAAATACACTATAAGGAGCTGTATCTTTGTTTTCAGGTGTTTTGAAGTCCTGCACAGCTGAAGATGACAATGTTTAATGAGCAATTGAAGAGTTAAATAAAGACACTCATTAGAACTGTGGGTTCCCTGATCTCTGGTTGATTAACTTGCTAAACAAGTAGCTGTGAACTCAATAGTGACCAATCCCATATGTGGGTGGGGGTGACAGAACCCCCCCCCCCCCCTTTTTTAGAAGGAGAAACCTTGATATAAATAATTGCATTTAAGGAGGTAAATAATCAGACTCCTGCACTGCCTGGTTCAAATCAAGCCCATAAAGGTCATACCCTAATAAGGGTAACAACTCTCAAGTTTTACCATGGCAAATAAAATTTTGAATTTCTCCTATAAAAGGGAAGTCTTGCCTTGCTCCAGTCTTTAGAGCTGAAATTAATTTTTCATTCTATTAACATTCAGCATAATAGGACACAACGGTCCCCAAGGCATTCTCCATAATACACTTTGTTCAGGGGTTTGCAAATGATCTTACCAGTTAATGGAACTATAAAAATTACTTGCACATAAAGGTCAAGAAAAATAAAGCTAAGTATATACTTGGTGACACTGTCCTGTCCAACGCTCAGCCAAAGGCCCCTGGAGTAAAGAAAACTTGGGACTAATGCAAGGACCATAATTCCTCCCAGCCTGGCAGCCCAAGCACTTCAACCTTTGGAATTCCAGACATTTCGTGTCTGCGCTTTTCCCTCCACCACTTCTCCCCAGCAATCCAGCACCTCATTGATCAGGGCATCATTAGCATTCCTGGCATGGCTTTAACATCAGGTTGTAGTTTGATTCAGCCTGGTAATAAAATGACCTACATCAAAGCCCTGCCAAAATGCCATCTTGGTGGCAATGTGTTTAGCATGAGTTATTTGCCCATATTCAAGGTTACACGGCAACTGCTCCTTATCGTGCAATTTAAAGGCAACAAAAGGCTCCTGCAACAATTCATTTGATGCTTATCACTTACTTTATAATTACACACAGGGCTTTTTTTAACATGTAAGGTCAATCCCCCGGGAAAACACACCGAAAGATTAAACTCCATTCCCACCTGAAAGGGCTCCACAGGTTTCTCTTACACTAGCACTGATTTTTTAATTGCTGTCCAGAACTTGAATTTGGATACATGAAATGGTTTGTCTATGTCTCCTCTGCACAAAAAGGTGCATTCCTCTGTATGGACCCAAACGGGGATGCTGCAGGGGTTAAACACTGTGCTACCCAGCTCATCACCACACCACCAACCACTGACCTCTGGTGCCTCACAATCACACTCCCAGCCTCTTCCTAGAGGTCAAAGTGCTTTTAGGGAAGAGTTTCATCCCAGGGGAGTAAGTATGGCGTGATCTAGCTTGGGAAAGTTTTGTTATCTTGTCCAAAAATATACCTTGTGTGTTTATCTCACAAAAGGCAGGGTCACAAGCAACACCACTTGTGCTTGCAGTGTCTGTGGTGACATTTGCAGCGGGTCCCTGGGACCTGGGGGAGTTCACAGCCACCGACCCTGCAACTTCCATCTGCCTCCCCCTCTGCTGTGCCAGACAGGCAAAATATCCTCCAAACAAAGAGCAGGACAGCTACAAAGTGTAAAGGAAGCCAGGGCAGAGAGCAGAAAACAGGCTGTGTGAGCTGCCCTCCCCTCCAGAGCCTGGAGGGAGGTTCCTGGGCTCGGGGGGCTTTGTGCCCAGGGATGGCAGCGCAGCCAGGAGGTGATGGAAAGCATAAATTAAGTGCAGATACATTATAATAATGGAAAACGCTGCTAAATGGATATGGATGCTACTGTGAGACACAATGAGAAACTCAGGCACTCGCCTGGAACTGCACAGAATGACCTGGCTGTTGTGACTGCACATGTGGCACAAGGACATCGCTCCAGAATACTTGTCTTGTCTCTGCCCTGCCTTAGGCAGCCTCTGCCAGTTTGTCTTCGCAATGCACTTATCTCGCCCAAACTCTGAGCACTTTCATTTATTTGCTGTTAACCAGAGGTAAACCTGCATTTTTTTTTTTTTTTCTTTCATCTTGCTGGTATTTTAAGTTCAGCCCATCTCGCCAGTTTGCCCTGTGCTTGAGAGCTGCTGGACTAAACAAAGCAGAAATTTAATGGGAAAAGAGTGACGTTTTCCTTCAATATTTCCTATGTGCCCCTGAAACACGTTCCCCCAGCCCCTTGTGCCACTTTGGGGGGGGAAGAATAATTTTGTCAGGTGAAATGGCCGTTATCTCACGGCCAGTGGTTTCAGATAATGCACTGAGGTCAAAGCAGATGAAAACAGATGAAAAAGATTCCTGCTCCTTATCCATCAGGAATCTGTTCGCTCAGGGCCTCTCTGGTGTTTCCATCTTAATGCACTGGCCTGGATCCAGGCTGTGCTGAGTCCACAATATCAGCTTCATTAGATAAGCCTGGAGTCAGCTCTTGGCTGGACTCTCTCCGAGCGTGCTCAGGGAAGGGAGGTGTGAGAGCAGCAGAAAGATGACCACAGCTAACGCATCCACGTGGGTTTTCCTCACTCTGAGATTATTGCTTATTTGTGGAACCGAAGATTCCCTCCCTAAATCACCGACTTCCCAGCAGGAACCCAGATGATTTGATGTTTTCCTGGATAACAGTTCCAATGAAGTGGGACAATGGTTCTGTGGTCACCACTCAGGATACAGCCATTAATTTATCGCCTTGGAAAGCACTTTCATGCAAAGTTTAGCGATCTCAGGGATGAAGAGATCTCAAAGC